CTTCTTAGATAGGGGGAATACAGCAGTAAAAGTAGTAGATTGCCAATGCCCTGTCCTGCATTCACCTCTCAACCAAAACCACCTAAAACAAATGATCAGATTAACCAGCTGTTCATCCTGCATAATACGAACACAGAAAATGCTGGAAACCTTCAGCAGGTCTGGCAGCATCTGTGGAGAGAGAAACTGAATTAACATTTCAGTCTGGAGACATTTCACAAAAAATGAATAACTGTGAAATTCAGTATTATGAAAGAAATTGGACAGACCAATCCACAACAACTCAGATAGGAAGAGACTACACAAATCCTAGGCCAGTCAAATGGTACCAAGCTCTCCTGCACAACAGGGCATTATATAAATATACCAGCTTTCATCCAGCCAGTATAACCAAGCAAAGAAAAGGATACAGTGAAACACAAACAGTTGAGAGTGACACTGCAATTTAAACAATGACCCATTATCTTTTGAATGTAAGGCTGAGAGCATCATCAATCATACTCTATAATGTGGCATCAAATTCACGAAGCTGCTACAAAAGGGCTACTTGGGTCCCGAACACCAAAAGCAATAACGAGAACAAAAACAGAAGTTGCTGGAAAAGCTCAGCTGGTCTAGCAGCATCTGTGAAGAAAAAAAAATCAGAGTTAACGTTTTGGGTCCGGTGACCCTTCCTCAGAATCAAAAGCAATATGTTAGTGACTGAACCAATAGATCAAAGTGCTATGGTCTTACTACATCCAGTTGACAATGATGGTAGGCCACAGGGAAGACGACTACATGAATACTGGACACCAACATGAGTGTTAAGCAGGTTCAAGGTGTTTGCAATTGGCTTTGGCCATAAGTGCCAAATGGATGATTCATCTTGGCCTTCTCCACATGTTCAGCAAATTTGGCTTATTCATTAAACATATCTGACAACTTGAAACCACTGTAAATCCTCACTCTTTTATTTTAAAAATTACAGATCTGTCTGGAGCTGGTATTTATTGCCCATCCATTGTGAAAGATTGGTTGATTCTGTCCAAACATGATATTTAAAGATCGAATAGGAACTGGAAGTAAATTGATAAGGTAATGGAAGGAGCCACCAGTAATGCTGTCATATAATTTTCCAATAGTCCTTTCACCATTGTTTCGTTCAAGTTTCACAAGAACTACTTAGATCTAAAGAACAGGCATGAGAAACAAACCTCAGCATCAAAGTGGCACTTAACATAGATGGCACATTCCAAGCCCACAATCACTTCCATCTAGAAGGACAAGGGCAGAACAGACATGGGAACACTATCACCTGCGAGTTCACCCTCAAGCCAGTCACCAGCCTGACTTGGAAATATATCACTGTTTCTTCAGTGTCACCGGGTCAAATTCCTGGAATTTCCTCCTTAAGGGCATTGTCGGTCTACCTACACATGGACTGCAGCAGTTCAACAAGGCAACTTACAGCCATCTTAACAACGACTAGGGATGGGCAATAAAAATGCTGGCCAGACTGCAAGGCCCGCATCCCACAAGTTAAAGTAGTTCATCAAAACAGAAGTCGACAGGCGAGAGGGTTTAAAAGACAAAAACCTCTACTGATTGGAATCATTCATACCTGCTGCTCCCATACTTCCAGGGTCATCGATGATTAAAACTGATTTGGACAATCTTCAAGAGCAAGTAAATGGCTAGCAGCTTTTGATCAGCCCGCAGACCCCTCACTGTTTTTGCATCATCTTACATCAGGCTTAGGATCAGGGGTGGGACAGGATACACATCAGTTTACTGGATTGATGCAACCTCAATTTAAGAAACTCAACATTATCCAGAACAGATTCAGTTACCTCATCAGGGCCTCTGCTGTTGTGATCAATGTTCATTCCCTCTAGCACTAACACATAATGTATATACTACAGCCAATGTTCAGCATGCTATACAATTCACCAAGAGCATTTACTAAGCAACTCCCTCCTCTGCAACCAGTTCCTAATAAAAGCAAAAGCATAGAAATATCTATATCCCCAAGTGAAGATGAGCAGCATTTCTTTTTGAACACCATCATCACCAAGCCACTCACCCGCCAGATTTGAATATTTACTGTTATTCTTTCATCAACAGAATAAAAACTTTGAATTCCTTAGCTACCACCATCATGAGAACAGTACAGCCATAAAGGTTGTGATGGTACTCCCTTGAGGAAGCAAGGGGTATGACTCAAATACAGCTTTACCATCATTGCATACACCCAGAGAGCTGGTTAAAAATAGCATTTTCAAAGAATTATACCTGTATCAGAAAGGAAGACTAAAAAAGCGTGATAAAGCAATTCTCTGTTTGTCTTGCATGATGAAACATTACACGCTACTGAATTTTTCATGTTAGGTCAAAAAAAAACTGGTCTTTTCTTTTCCTTGCTCATAGTCTTCATGTTTCCATTGCCCCTTGCATGTGTGCCTTTCTTTCAACTTCTCTTTGTTTCTGCATTTTTATATTGTCATTACCTTCCTTTTTGGAAGAAGCTGGTGATTGTCGTGGTGTGGAACAAAAGGGCAAAACAGCTGCTGAAAACTGCAGGCTATTGATGGTTACTGCAGTAAATTTGGCCCAAGTCATTACTTGCTCCCTTCCAATCACAACCACATTCACTCATTTTCCTTGCTCTTTCATTTATATTAATGATCTGTGACATAATTGATCCTCCCTCCCATCAGTACCACTCGCCCTTTACCATCTATCCACTCCCCATCTCCTCTACATAATCAAGGCAGAGTTCAACAAGAGACTCCGTAGTGATTTTAATGAGGTCAGCCAGGTAGACCTCACAGAATATGAGTTCCCTGATTGGAGGCCTGTCACCAGCGGTGTTCCACAGGGATTGATTCTGGGTCCTCTTTTGTTTGTCATTTATACGAATGATTTGAAAGAGAATTTAGGAGATATGGTTAGTAAGTCTGCAGATGACACCAAAATTGATAGCATAGAAAACTTTCTTCATTGTCTCCTAAGACTACAATGGGATCTTGATCAAATGGGTCAATGGGCTGAAAAATGGCAGATGCAGTTCAATTTAGATAATTGTGATGGATTGCATTTTGGTACAACAAACAGGGGCAGGACTTTTACGATTAAAGGCAGGGTGTTGAATAGTGTTGTAGAATAGAGGAACCTAAGGGTTCAGGTACATAATTCTTTGAAGTTTGCATCACATGTAGACTGGGTGGTTAAAGAGGCATTTAGCACGCTTGCCTTCATTGCTCAGTTCTTTGATTATAGGAGTTGGGAAGCCATGTTGAGGTTGTGCAGGACACTGGTGAGGCCTCTTCTGGAGTGCTGTGTCCAGTTCTGGTTGCCCAGTTACAGGAAGGATATTTAACTAGAGAGGGTTCAGAAGAAATTCACCAGGATGTTGCTGGGTATGGAAAGTTTGAGTTATAAAGAAATGCTGACTAAGTTGGGACTTTTCTCACTGGAGCATAGGAGTTTGAAAGGTGACCATAAAGAGATTTACGAAATAATGAGATAGGCTTAATAGTAGGTGTTTTTTTTCCCAAGGACGGGGGATTTCAAATCTGCAAAACTGTCTCAAGGTTCTTTAGACAGCAGCTTCCAAACCCATGATCATCACCACTTAAAACAAAGGCACCAAAAGACATGCAAACATCATCTCCTGAAATTCTCCAAGCCACTCACCAGACTTGGAAATATATCGTACCATTGAAAGCATACCGTCCGGGTGCATAACGGCCTGGTATGGCAACTGCTCTGCCCAGCGCTGTAAGAAACTACAGAAGGTGGGGTGCACAGCCCAGATCATCACAGAAGCCAACCTTCCATCCATGGACTCTATTTACACGGCTCACTGCCACAGAAAGGTGGGCAACATCAAAGACCCATCGCAACCTGGTAATGACCTCCTACAACCTCTTCCATCAGGCAAAAGATACAGAAGCCTGAACACACAAACTAGCAAGTTACGGAACAGCTTCTTCTATCAGAGTGTTGAATGGACTCTAGCCTCAAATTATGTAACCTGCAATGTAACCTGTATGCCTCTAAGTCTTTTTGATCTGTACATCCTTTGCTTGCTATGATCTGCCAGCACTGCTCATAAACAAAGCTTTTCACTGTATTTTGGAAAATGTGACAATAAAATCAATCAATCCTTCAGTGTCATTGCGTCCACAGTCTGGAACTCCCTCCTTAAAGGCATTGTGGGTGTACGTACACCAAATAGACTGCAGCTGTTCAAGAAGGCAGCTCAGCACCACCTTCACAAAGGAAACTAGAATGGGCAATCAACGCTAGCCAGTCAGTGATAGCCACATCCCACAAGAGAACAAAATGTTATACAAGGAAGTGATCAAAGATGGCCTCAACTGTGATTGACACAAGTAGCACTGGCTCGTGAGCTGTCATAGTCAAGTATATAGTCATGAACTTAGGTTGGGTACTATCATGGAGTGAGAAATTAAGGGATGAAGGAGGGCAATGAAATCAGAGGAGAGAGTTCAGGATGAATTGAAAATGGAAGTTGAAATCACCAAGGATGGGAAGTCAGGAAATTCGCAGGCCAATGGCAGCAAGTGAAGAAATTTCAGTGAGAAAACCTTTTAGCTTGGTTGAGATCTAGAATTTTAAATATGACACAAGAACAAACAGTTAGCTATGGAATGTCCAGACAACTGGATAGACATTTTGTAACTGCTTCAACATTGACAATCCATGCTACACCTGACTTGAGAGTTGTTGATTATAATACTAGCTGTAAAAAGATTCCATTCACCAACTACACCATACCTAACCCTACATTTCTACATGCTGTAGAATAGTCAAATTCAATTCACAGTCGGCACCTTGTAAGCTCTTGAAAAGTAACTTGATTAGCATTACAATACTGACCTCTAAATACGATTAAGGAGAGATACAGTTCCCAGTTAATAGGTTGAGATCATATCTGATAGACAGATAATCTGTTCACATCTAGATTTTTATGCTTGTCCTGCCCCACCTACCTCTTTGGAAGGCATAAATACTATCCTTGTATTGGCAGGTTAGTGCAATGACAGTCCAGTCCACTCCTTTTGTTTGGTTGCTGGAATTCTGCCACTCTGCAGCCAAAGTCTCAACATGTTGGCTGTCTGCTTTGTTTGCCATTCCTTTACTTAGATCTCTTCAACTTGTGTCATTCGGTTGATTTTCAGAAACATCACGTTGCTGCAAAGAAACAAAGTAACTTTATTATTACTTGTTGATTTGAGACATTGCATAGAACAATGGTTCCCAAAATCTTTTAGGTTGAAGGACCTTTCCCCACATGGAGTAAAGTCACCATAAAGGACTATAGGGCTGCTCTTTCATTAGAGAGATACAACTGGTGGTTTAACCGGAGGGTGACCAAGCCTCAGGCAAGGGAGAAGGTTGAGAAAGTGGGACCTTAGCACGGATTTAAAAAAAAGAGTTGCCTAAAGTGGGCTGGGAAATTAGACTAAAGACAGCTGATGAGCAGTCTCAGACAATTAAACAGATATTTCATAACGTTCAGCAAAAATTTATACAGTCAAAAATAAGGACTTGTTGAGAAGGATAGATCATCCATGATTAACAAAGGATGTCAAAGAGAGTATCAAAACTAAGATATATTAAGTGTAAAAACTAGTGGTAGGCCACAGGATTGGGATTTATTTTAGGAACCAGCAGCAGATGACTAAAAAACACCCTAATAAAGAGGTAGGTATTAATTACAAAAGTAAATTAGGAAGAAACATAAAAATAAACAGCAATACCTGCTATAGGTATGTAAAGTGAGGAGCTTAAGTATAAGACCCTTGGAGGATGCAACTGGGGAATCAATAACAGGAATATGGTGATTTAAACAAAGAACTGTGTCTAACTTCTTGAAAACATTCAATGTTTTGACCTCAATCATTTTTCATGGCAGAGAATTCCACAGACTCACCACTCTCTGGGTGAAGAAATTTCTCTTCATCTCAGCCCTTAAATGGCCTTTCCTCCATCCTTAGAATATGGACTCTGGTACTGGACTCTACAGTCATTAGGAACATCCTTCCTATGCTCACCCTTGTCAAATTCTGTCAAAATTTTATATACTTCTATGAGGTTCCCACTCATTATTCTCATCTCCAGCAAATATAATCTTAATCGATCCTCTCTCTTCATACATCTTCATACAGTCCTCCCATCCTAGGAATCAGTCTGCTGAATCTCCATCACACTCCTATCACAGCCTGAACATCCTTCCTCAGATCAGATGCTCAAAATTGCACACAATACTCCAGGTGTAATTTCAACAAAGTCCCGTGCACTTGCAGCAAGACATCCCTATTCCGGTACTCAAATCCTCTCACAATGAAGACCAACGTATCATTTACAACAAAAACAAAGTTGCTGGAAAAGCTCAGCAGGTCTGGCAGCATCTGTGAAGGAAAAAACAGAGTTAATGTTTCGGGTCCGGTGACCTGAGGAAGGGTGACCGGACCTGAAACGTTAACTCTGTTTTTTCCTTCACAGGTGCTGCCAGACCTGCTGAACTTCCTCAGTAACTTTGTTTTTGTTCCTGATTTACAGCATCCGTAGTTCTTTCACTTTTTATTAGCCAACATATCATTTGTCTTCTTCACCACCTGCTGCACCTGCATGTTTACATTCAGCGAATGATGTACAAAGACAACAAGGTGCAGGGCT